GGAGTTTCTTTCTTTTTGGGTCACCCTGCCTCGGTGGGAGATGGCTGACTTGTTAAAAAAAAAAATAAGGTAAAAGCACCCCAATGGAAATAAATCACTCTGTCTGACTTTTTTGGGTTATCCTAGGTTCTTTACACATATGTTGCTATGTATGATAATCTAAGTAACCGTATTTGTGTATACCTGAATAAACTTACTTACTTACTAGCATATAAACATGCAATGTTTATATGTTATCGAGTGGAGAATTGGATGGAGAGTAAACATTACGTTTTCTCTGATGCAGGGTTAAAGAAAACTGTGAATCTGGTGTAGTAACCGCCCTTCATATGTGTTTCTTTACAATTCTCGGCATGAATTATTCATTACTTCTCCCTTTGTTTATGATGGCATCTAAAGGTAATTGTTAGAAAAGATTAAACTCAGTGAACATGGTAATAATATGGCTGTGTAGTGTAATAATATGGTTGTGTCATGTAATATTATAGCTGTGTAGTGTAGCCCAGGGAAGGGGGGCTATATACGTGTACTGTACCTACATCTACCGCTACCTACACTGACTTCCTACAAATAAATACTACTCACCTCTTGTCCTACATTAAGACTACAAATAATTTAAGGTAAGTAATGAATGTACTGTAGCAGTAAATGACAGAGATTAAAGGTGTGTGTGCAATGTGGACTAGAATGCAAGCTTTTGTAGAGAAACACCACCCTGACTGAGCTGAAACAAGCCATATCTGCAACATGTTCAGTGACAAAACCCTGTCCCACTTCAGGGAAATCTTAAAGAGATGCCAGAAAGAGACCTCTATGGACAAATTTGTTGTACGACAGGAGTCCAGTGACTCTCAAGCTGGTCCTAGTGGCATTAAAAGACAAAGAAGGGAAGTAACCCCAGAGAAGGTTTTGCTACCTAAAGTCTTAATGGAGAGGGATTCCCCTTCCAAACACTAACTCCTCCCTCTTTCCTCTTCCCTATCTTCCAGAAGCCAGCATTAGCCTTCAATAAAGGTATGTAATACTTACATAATTGTTAAAAAAAATATTTTTTTGTGAATATTTTTGTCTGGAATGGATTAATTTTATTTCCATTAATTCTTATGGGAAATATTAATTCAGTTTTTGGCCATATCAGTTATCAGCAGACCTTCTGGAACGGATTACGGCCAGTAACTGAGGGACCACTGTATTTAATTTTGCTACATAAAAATTATAAAAAACTGAACAAGGTGACATTTATGAGGTAAATTCAGGAAAATCGGTCAGCTGAACTCTAGTCCTAGAGGTGAAAAGTACAGTGCATGCACTCTGGAGGAGGAGTGAGGATGATGAAGTTTGAATGACCATCTAAACCATGAAGTCAGTATGCATGTGGCAAGACTGTGACTGAGTGAGAGAAGGTGAATGCATTTCTTCTTTCTTTTGAGGGAGTTCAACCAAGAAAGAAGAATCAAAGATTTTCTTCTTTTCATATTTAGCAATTTACAGAAGAAAGAGTTACTAGCCCCTTGCTACTGGCATTTAAAGCCACCTCATATGATATGCATGGCTTACGAAGCAAGGATTCTTCTCCACTTCCTCATGGAGATGAAAGGAAATAAGATGGAAGAGTATACATGTACATACCTGTGTAGTGCGACTCAAACGTAAGCAGAAGCAGCAAAGTGTACCTGTTATCTCATATGTTTATGAGACAAAGAAAAGACACCAGCAACCTACCACTGTAAAACAATTACAGGCTTCTGTTTCACACTCATTTGGCAGGATGGTACTACCTCCCTAGGTGGATGCTGTCTACCAACCTACTACCTATAACCTGTGTTCCTATGTACTGAAAATCCAAACTATAATAACAGTTCAATAAAATCATCAAGATTCAAGCCCACAATTTAGAATTACCAGCCCATTACCATAATAAACTGTGCCATATATGTGCACTACACGACCCTTTGTAGTGCAATAAGCTAAGGCAACAATGATAATCCTAAACTGTGGGTTTGAATCCCGATCATTCCATATGTTTCTTTAATCATCTCATACATGTACCATTCTGTAAAAACATATACTTATGTTTAAATTTCTGCCTCCAAGCCATCTCACAAACTATTCTTTTGTTCTTTAAATTACAGATTTTATACCACTTAAATGCCTTCAAATAAATTAATTTTTTATTCTCTACAAAATATTATTAAGCACCCTTCTGGCAAGACAGTGATGGAGTGAATGATGGTGAAAGTTTTTCTTTTTCGGGCCACCCTGCCTTGGTGGGAATCGGCCAGTGTGATGATAAAAAAAAAATGCATACACACTGATATGTGTGTGTAGTAATATGGTGCTAGTACAAACAGGCAGTGACTGAGAAAGAAAGAATAAAAAAAAAAACTGAGACAGACAGACATCAGCCAGATATACACATGTATACACAAAAGCAAGACAAAGGATTGAGCAGACAAAGATGGAGGCATGCTATAGTGATGAGCACTGGGATGACAGGCTGTGATCAGCCAGTGACTGCGACCCAAGAAGCAACTGCTACCCAAGAAGCGACTGCAACCCAAGAAGTGACTGTGACCCTAGAAGTGACTGTGACCTAAGAAGTGACTGAACTAAGATTTGACTGCAACCCAAGAACTGACCGAGACCCCCAGATGTGACTGCGACCCAAGAAGTCACGGTGACCCAAGAAGTGACTGGGACCCCAAGAAGTGGCACAGCAGACACTGATAAAGTAAACAGTGACAAAAAACAATAACACAGCACACATTAAGATGAAATAATACAGTAAACAGTGTCACAGTTTGCAGTGAAGAGCAGTGACCCAGTGTCTTACGAACAATGAGTTCAAGTTCAGTGTAGTGAGTTATGATGCAGCACTGTGAGTGATATTCAGTGTCATGTTTACCTGGAAAGGGTTTCGGGGGACAACACCCTCGTGGCCCAGTTTGAGACCAGGCCTCATTAAGATAAGATTTCGTTCAGATTTTTAACCCTTTGAGGGTTTTGGTCGTACTAGTACGTCTTACGCGTAGGGGTTTTTGACGTACTAGTACTCATAAATTCTAGCGGCCTCAAATCTAGTGGGAGAAAGCTGGTAGGCCTACATATGAAAGAATGGGTCTATGTGGTCAGTGTGCACAGTCTAAAAAAAATCCTGCAGCACACAGTGCATAATGAGAAAAAAAAAACTTTGACCATTTTTTTGGAATAAATCAGCGACTTTGCAGTGTATTTTCGTATGGTATTTATTGTTGTATTCTAGTTTTCTTGGTCTCATTTTATAGAATGGAAGACATATTACAGAAATTGAGATGATTTTGACTGGTTTTACAATGAAAGGTGCCTTGAAATTGAGCTCAAAGTAGCAGAAATGTTCGATTTTTACCAAACTTCAAAAGTAAACAAATCGTGCCAAGCATGCAATACACGTCAACTGGTGAGTCTAATATTCTTTCACAAGTGCACCAATAATATTTATACCATTTTTTACACTAATGCAGTAGTCTGCATAACAGTAAATCTTATATTTTTTGTGAGAATAAAAATTCAAAGTGGAAAGCAAAAGAATATAAGAGGGGCCTTGAGACGTGACTAATGACTAGAGAAAATGTCATTTTAGTGCCAGGAATGTCTTTCTTGTTTATTCTGGACCCTATTCGGAAATTGGCATCTTTTGAAATTTGTGTGAAATTGGCAAAATTGCTAAATTCTGACCACTGTACTGGATAGTTGAATTTCATAAATGGGTGGTTTCTTGCACCCATTCGATAGAAAAAATGGAGTTCTAGCGAAATATTCATGTTTTTTGTCGACTAGTACAGTGAAATTGGCCGAAAATGGGGCTCAAAGTGGGCAAAATCGCCGATGCGTAAACATCGCCGAGACCGCTAACTTTGCGAGAGCATAATTCCGTAAGTTTTCTATCAAATTTCAAACTTTTGGTGTCTTTATGATCGGGAAAAGATTCTCTATCTTTTCATAAGAGAAAATAATTTTTTTTTTTTTTTAAATTTGGCCGACCCTGAGAACGAGTTTCGGAGAGGGCCTGTCGACCCTCAAAGGGTTAACCCCGAAGGGTTAGCCACCTAGGATAACCCAAGAAAGTCAGTGAGTCATCGAGGAATGTCCAACTTATTTCCATTGGGGTCCTCAATCTTGTCCCCCAGGATGCGACCCACACCAGTCGACTAACACCCAGGTACCTATTTGCTGCTAGGTGAACAGGTGTTAGGAAATGCGTCGAAATGTTTCCACCCGCGGGGAATCAAACCCAGGCCCTCCGTGTGTGAAATGGGAGCGTTAGCCACCAGGCCACCGGCCCTGGCGGCCTGTGTGATGTACTGTGAAGAAACATTTGTAAACACCACACTGATTTTCCCCCCATGAAAATGAACTTGGTACATATATGCAACTATGATGTAAATCATAACTAGATCATTTTTATTTCAGTCATTGAAGTGATATTGTTCTAACTCTTTGTCTGAGCTTTCCATTTATTGCACACACCCAGTGTAATGAATATTCATGCAACACAAAAACACTGTCACAGAGGACATTTCCACTCCTAGTTGACTATACACCAGTTCACCAGTATTGTGAAAAATTCCAGTTTTTGCATCAAATGACAAATTTTTCTTTATGCAGACTTGTACTTCAAATATTGAAAAGTTTATTCAAATGCAATGAGACTTATTCTGTCATTTGTAGCTATTAAAGCCTAGCTTGTATTTCCAATTTACAATAGTTATTTTGGAAACTTTTTGCATTAGAAAAAATTGCAAATCTTAGTAATATTGAAAACATGATAAAATTGTCAATAACATCTGTAAATATTTAATATAATAAGGTATATACTGTACTTCAATACTAAAATGACAAATAAATTTAAAACTATTTTGTCATATTTTTTTCTTGAGTCTAAATGTAATGTTTGTCTCTCTCTAAATGCTTGTTTGTGTCTTCTACATGTAAGTATCTCTCTAAATACTTTATTAAATAACCTTGGCAAAGAAAGTAGTGGAGAGGGACTGCCAATTTGGACGAGCTGTGCACATCAGCTTCCTTTTCACCTTTGGCCACTTATTCCATCTCATCACCTGCAGTGTTGGAAACTTGATTAGTGAGGTATGATCTAATACATTAAAATGTAGGAAAATCCTTAAAGTAAAATCCTGATAATAATATTGGAAGTCGTCAACATATTTTCAGTACACTTAACTGATGAATGAAAATAACCAAGTAGCAATAACTGTTTTCTCAAGACAGAAAAATCAGTGCATTTGTATGCATTTCAGAACAGGGTTTACAAAGCAACATATGTTAAATGTTGAAGAAGATAGGGAAGCTGTGATTTCGTGTATAGGGCAAGGAGGAACAACATCTTGTAGGAGTGAGGAAGAGCCAGTTGTGAGTGTGGGGGAAGTTCGTGAGGCAGTAGGTAAAATGAAAGGGGGTAAGGCAGCCGGGATTGATGGGATAAAGATAGAAATGTTAAAAGCAGGTGGGGATATAGTTTTGGAGTGGTTGGTGCTATTATTTAATAAATGTATGGAAGAGGGTAAGGTACCTAGGGATTGGCAGAGAGCATGCATAGTTCCTTTGTATAAAGGCAAAGGGGATAAAAGAGAGTGCAAAAATTATAGGGGGATAAGTCTGTTGAGTATACCTGGCAAAGTGTTTGGTAGAGTTATTATTGAAAGAATTAAGAGTAAGATGGAGAATAGGATAGCAGATGAACAAGGAGGCTTTAGGAAAGGTAGGGGGTGTGTGGACCAGGTGTTTACAGTGAAACATATAAGTGAACAGTATTTAGATAAGGCTAAAGAGGTCTTTGTGGCATTTATGGATTTGGAAAAGGCGTATGACAGGGTGGATAGGGGGGCAATGTGGCAGATGTTGCAGGTGTATGGTGTAGGAGGTAGGTTACTGAAAGCAGTGAAGAGTTTTTACGAGGATAGTGAGGCTCAAGTTAGAGTATGTAGGAAAGAGGGAAATTATTTCCCAGTAAAAGTAGGCCTTAGACAAGGATGTGTGATGTCACCGTGGTTGTTTAATATATTTATAGATGGGGTTGTAAGAGAAGTAAATGCGAGGGTCTTGGCAAGAGGCGTGGAGTTAAAAGATAAAGAATCACACATAAAGTGGGAGTTGTCACAGTTGCTCTTTGCTGATGACACTGTGCTCTTGGGAGATTCTGAAGAGAAGTTGCAGAGATTGGTGGATGAATTTGGTAGGGTGTGCAAAAGAAGAAAATTGAAAGTGAATACAGGAAAGAGTAAGGTTATGAGGATAACAAAAAGATTAGGTGATGAAAGATTGGATATCAGATTGGAGGGAGAGAGTATGGAGGAGGTGAATGTATTCAGATATTTGGGAGTGGACGTGTCAGCGGATGGGTCTATGAAAGATGAGGTGAATCATAGAATTGATGAGGGGAAAAGGGTGAGTGGTGCACTTAGGAGTCTGTGGAGACAAAGAACTTTCTCCTTGGAGGCAAAGAGGGGAATGTATGAGAGTATAGTTTTACCAACGCTCATGGGTGTGAAGCATGGGTGATGAATGTTGCAGCGAGGAGAAGGCTGGAGGCAGTGGAGATGTCATGTCTGAGAGCAATGTGTGGTGTGAATATAATGCAGAGAATTCGTAGTTTGGAAGTTAGGAGGAGGTGCGGGATTACCAAAACTGTTGTCCAGAGGGCTGAGGAAGGGTTGTTGAGGTGGTTCGGACATGTGGAGAGAATGGAGCGAAACAGAATAACTTCAAGAGTGTATCAGTCTGTAGTGGAAGGAAGGCGGGGTAGGGGTCGGCCTAGGAAAGGTTGGAGGGAGGGGGTAAAGGAGGTTTTGTGTGTGAGGGGCTTGGACTTCCAGCAGGCATGTGTGAGCGTGTTTGATAGGAGTGAATGGAGACAAATGGTTTTTAATACTTGACGTGCTGTTGGAGTGTGAGCAAAGTAACATTTATGAAGGGGTTCAGGGAAACCAGCAGGCCGGACTTGAGTCTTGGAGATGGGAAGTACAGTGCCTGCACTCTGAAGGAGGGGTGTTAATGTTGCAGTTTAAAAACTGTAGTGTAAAGCACCCTTCTGGCAAGACAGTGATGGAGTGAATGATGGTGAAAGTTTTTCTTTTTCGGGCCACCCTGCCTTGGTGGGAATCGGCCAGTGTGATAATAATAATAAAAAAAATATGTATACACATTACTAATGTGATCCAGTGATCCAAAAATAAATCTACTTTATTCTTTCTACAGCAGCCATTATACAGCTGACCATAACTGCAAACACTATAATGCAAACCTTGCCAAAAATATACTTTGTAGCTACAAGAATATATGGATGTTCAATAATAGAAATCTCAATATCCCACGAAAAAAAACTCTGCAATAACTTCTCATTTATAATTATTAGACACACCTGGCTTACACACAACTTTATACAGTGGTACCTCAGGATACGAACAGCTCAAAATGCAAACAGTTATGTAACTGTATTTAAGTATGTGCTTTTGTAAGTGTATTCTGGGGGTCTGAAACAGATTAATCTAATTTACATTATTCCTTATGGGAACAAATTCGTTCGGTATCAGCACTCGAACAGCCTTCTGGAACGAAATACGTAAGTTCATATCCCAAGGCACCACTACAAGAAATTTTAATGAAAATAAGAAAAAAATTATGGAGTGAGTTAAACAAGTTAAGAAAGCCTAGGGAACGAATGGATTCGTCAGTTAAAAACAGAGTAGGGAAGCTAGTAGATGGGGAGATGGAGGTACTGGGTAGATGGCGAGAATATTTTGAGGAACTTTTAAATGTCAACGAAGAAAGGAAGACGGTAATTTCATGCACTGGCCGGGGAGGTATACCATCTTTTAGGAGTGAAGAAGAGCAGGATGTGAGTATGGAGGAGGTGCACGAGGCATTATGTAGAAAGAAAGGGGGTAAAGCAGCTGGAACTGACTGGATCATGACAGAAATGTTAAAAGCAGGGGGGGATATAGTGTTGGAGTGGTTGGTATTTTTGTTTAATAAATGTATGAAAGAGGGGAAGGTACCTAGGGATTGGCAGAGAGTATGTATAGTCCCTTTATATAAAGGGAAGGGGGACAAAAGATTGTAAAAATTATAGAGGAATAAGTTTACTGAGTATACCAGGAAAAGTGTACGGTAGGGTTATTACTGAAAGAATTAGAGGTAAGACAGAATGTAGGATTGCGGATGAGCAATTAGGTTCTAGAGTGGGTAAGGGATGTGTAGATCAAGTGTTTACATTGAAGCATATATGTGAACAGTATTTAGATAAAGGTAGGGAAGTTTTTATTGCATTTATGGATTTAGAAAAGGCATATGATAGAGTGGATAGGGGAGCAATGTGGCAGATGTTGCAAGTACATGGAATAGGTGGTAAGTTACTAAATGCTGTAAAACGTTTTTATGAGGATAGTGAGGCTCAGGTTAGGGTATGTAGAAGAGAGGGAGACTACTTCCCAGTAAAAGTAGGTCTTAGACAGGGATGTGTAATGTCACCATGGTTGTTTAATATAGTATTTATAGATGGGGTTGTAAAAGAAGTAAATGCTAGAGTGTTCAGGAGAGGGGTGGGATTAAATTATGGGGAATCAAATACAAAATGAGAATTGACACAGTTACTTTTTGCTGATGATACTGTGCTTATGGGAGATTCTAAAGAGAAACTGCAAAGGTTAGTGGACGCTTGTGTGTAAAGGTAGAAACTTGAAAGTGAACACAGGAAAGAGTAAGGTGATGAGGGTATCAAATGATTTAGATAAAGAAAAATTGGATATCAAATTGGAAAGGAGTATGGAAGAAGTGAATGTTTTCATTTGGGAGTTGACGTGTCAGCAGATGGATTTATGAAGGATGAGGTTAATCATAGAACTGATGAGGAAAAAAAGGCGAGTGGTGCATTGAGATATACGTGGAGACAAAAAACGTTATATATGGAGGCAAAGAAGGGAATGTATGAAAATATAGTAGTACCAACACTCTTATATGGGTGTGAAGCTTGGGTTGTAAATGCTGCTGCGAGGAGGCGGTTGGAGGCAGTGGAGATGTCCTGTCTAAGGGCAATGTGTGGTGAAAATATTATGCAGAAAATTCAGAGTGTGGAAATTAGGAGAAGGTGTGGAGTTAATAAAAGTATTAGTCAGAGGGCTGAAGAGGGGTTGTTGAGGTGGTTTGGTCATTTAGAGAATGGATCAAAGCAGAATGACATGGAGAGCATATAAATCTGTAGGGGAAGGAAGGCGGGGTAGGGGTCGTCCTCGAATAGGTTGGAAGGAGGGGGTAAAGGAGGTTTTGTGGGTGAGGGGCTTGGACTTGGACTTTCAGCAAGCGTGCGTGAGCGTGTTCGATAGGAGTGAATGGAGACGAATGGTATTTGGGACCTGACGAACTGTTGGAGTGTGAGCAGGGCAATATTTAGTGAAGGGATTCAGGGAAACCGGTTATTTTTATATAGCCGGACTTGAGTCCTGGAGATGGGAAGTACAGTGTCTGCACTCTGAAGGAGGGGTGTTAATGTTGCAGTTTAAAAACTGTAGTGTAAAGCACCCTTCTGGCAAGACAGTGATGGAGTAAATGATGGTGAAAGTTTTTCTTTTTCGGGCCACCCTGCCTTGGTGGGAATCGGCCAGTGTGATAATAAATAATAATAAGCCGGACTTGAGTCCTGGAACTGGGAAGTACAATGCCTGCACTTTAAAGGAGGGGTTTGGGATATTGGCAGTTTGAAGGGATACGTTGTGTATCTTTATACGTATATGCTTCTAAACTGTTGTGTTCTGAGCACCTCTGCAAAAACAGTGATTATGTGCGAGTGAGGTGAAAGTGTTGAATGATGATGAAAGTATTTTCTTTTTGGGGATTTTCTTTCTTTTTGGGTCACCCTGCTTCGGTGGGAGACGGCCGACTTGTTAAAAACAAAAAAAAAAATTACAATTGGAGCCGTAAAGGCATATAGAATTCCAAACACCTAAAAAAATGACAACCTCAGTACGCTCATTATAAACAACTTTAATAAAAATCACCAGATAATTCTGTAACTTTAAAATTAGTGTTCCTCAACCCAATAATACCCAGGTTACCAGCTTTCTAAATACCATGTTTGTTTATGACCTCAGTTAATAAACCAACAACAAACAAAAATCACTGACACATTTGCTTCTATTTTAGATCAATTTCAGAGAAACATAATTACCCCATTTATGTCAAGAATAATTACAAAAAACACCACATATCACTACCCAAATTTCCTTATAACAAATAGCATGAGGACATCATTACAAACTACTAAAATACAATTCAGACTACACAAACCATGGTAGAGGTGGAGTTAGAACTCATGGCAAGCGAGTTGTAAAACTCCAGGCCAGTGCATAAGCCACTGGGCCAGCTGGCTACAATAAGATTCATCCAGCTAGGTATATATATACACCATAGGGAGATTAGCATGGGCCCCACTGTGACCACAAATGCAAGATTTTATAAATGAATTTCCCGCTAGCATGGCTTTGACAAACTCTAGCTCATGTCCCCTCAAGCCATCATCATGACTCATGAAATCGTAATAACACAAATGGAAACAAACCACGGTACAGGGGGGTTAGAACGCATGGCAAGCAAGTCGTGAAACTTGATAATGACTTCAAAGCATTAAATATTGGGAACAGGAACTACATAATATCAGTGTAGGAGCAGAAACCTTTAAAAAAAAAAAAAAAAAAAAAAAAAAAAAAAAAAAAAAAAAAAAAAAATTGTCATAATAAACATGGTCCAATACCGAGTAAACAAATTACAAGAAAGGCAAGATACCCATGGAGACAAACAGCACAAAGTCATCAAGTGGAGAAGAAAGACACAATTGCAGAGAGAAACTTTATTGAGACATTTTGCCTGTGAAACAGGCTTCTTCAGTCAAGACACGGGGATGCACTACAAGCAAACTTATACAAACAATCAGGTGAGTGGCTGGGTCAATGATGTCATCTCTTGGATTTAACTGCAAGATAAGAGCATGGCAAGAAGGCCTGCTGGTCCTTCCAATGACCTGTCTATACAAAATAAGTTGGGCTACAGGTTTAGCAAACTGAAAGCTTCTTGACTGTGTTGGATAATATTTTTTGTACAGATTAGAGCAGCTTCCAGGTATCTATGTCATGTTTTCTCTGAACAATACAACATAGTTTTCCTGCTGTAAGCAATATTCTACTCATAGCCCCAAAAGAAACTTAACCAAGACAATCTCAAGAACAGTCTCAAAAGTGGGGAACCATCCATTCAATTCACCCTAGAAGAAAAAGCTAATGATAGCCTTCCTTTCCAAGACATATTTCTTATTAACCCTTTCAGGGTCCGTCCCGTAGATCTACGGCTTTATGTTCAGGGTCCAAACCGTAGATCTACGCCATGAGCTCAGCTCACTCTGATAAACTGTGAGTGGTACATTTGGGCCTAGATATGAGAGAATACATCTATGTGGTATGTGTGCACCACATAAAACAGATCCTGCAGCACACTGTGTATAATGAGAGAAAAAAAATTAAATCATGATTTTTCGATTAAAACAGCAACTTTGCAGTGTTTTTTCGTATGTTTTTTATAGTTGTATTTGCGATTTCTTGGTCTCATTTGATAGAATGGAAGACATATTACAGAAATAGAGATGATTTTGATTGGTTTTAGCACTGGAAATGGCTTGAAACTGAGCTCAAAGTAGCAGAAATGTTAAATTTTTGCCGATATTCAAGAGTAAACAAACGACCTCACACGTCTAATACACGTCAGCTGGTGGGTCTAATATACATTCACAAATATGGTGATGATATATATACAATTATTACAGTATTGCATAACAGTAAATCTTCTATTTTTTGGTGTGAATAAAAATTCATTATGTGAATAAAAAATTAAAATGGAATTTATTTGTAAAGCCTCAAAACATAACTAATGAACAGAGGAAATGTTAGTTTAGTGCCAGGAATGCCTACATTGTTCATTCTGGACCCTATTTTGAAATTGGAATATTTTGAACTTTGTGTTAAATTGGCCAAATTAACAATTTCCGATCACTTTATTTTGTAGTTGAAACAGTTGACTTGGCGATTTCTTGTGCTCAATCGATAGAATAGAAGTAATACTAGTGAAATAGCTAAGAATTTGGTTGATTGGAATAATGTAATTGGCCTAAAATGGGAGTCAAAGTCGGCAAAATCGCCGATTCGTAAATATCGCTGACACATCAAAATTTGCGAGAGCATAATTTCGTCAATTTTCCACCAAATTTCGTACTTTTTGTTTTATTACCTTCACAAAAAGATTCTCTACGATTTCATAAGAAAAAATAACAAATTTTTTTTTTTTAAATTCTTGGACACTGGTGCGTGACTCCAGATTTGGGCCTTGGACCCTGAAAGGGTTAAACAACACAGCCACCTCAAATTCAGTGTACTGAAAACCATTTATCAAGAATGACATAATACACTACCTTCTGCTTTATATGTTATTATTAACCCTTTGAGGGTCGATAGGCCCTCTCCAAGACTCGTTCTCAGGGTCGGCCAAATTTAAAAAAAAAAAAAAAAAAAAAATTCTTATGAAAAGATAGAGAATCTTTTCCCGATCATAATGACACCAAAAGTATGAAATTTGATGGAAAACTTACAGAATTATGCTCTGTGAAGTTAGCGGTCTCGGCGATGTTTACGCATCGGCGATTTTGCCCACTTTGAGCCCCATTTTTGGCCAATTCCACTGTACTAGTCAACAAAAAACATGAATATTTTGCTAGAACTCCATTTTTTTTCTATCGAATGAGTGCAAGAAACCACCCATTTACCAATTTCAACTATCCAGTACAGTGGTCAGAATTTAGCAATTTTGCCAATTTCACACAAATTTCAAAAGATGCCAATTTCCGAATAGGGTCCAGAATAAACAAGAAAGACATTCCTGGCACTAAAATGACATTTCCTCTGTTCATTAGTCACGTTTCAAGGCCCCTCTTACATTCTTTTGCTTTCCACTTTGAATTTTTATTCTCACAAAAAATGGAAGATTTACTGTTATGCAGACTACTGCATTAGTGTAAAAAATGGTATAAATAATATTGGCGCACTTGCGAAAGAATATTAGACTCACCAGTTGACGTGTATTGGACCATTGGCATGATTTGTTTACTTTTGAACTTTGGTAAAAATCGAACATTTCTGCTACTTTGAGCTCAATTTCAAGGTACTTTTCATTGTAAAACCAGTCAAAATCATCTCAATTTCTGTAATATGTCTTCCATTCTATAAAATGAGACCAAGAAAACTAGAATACAACAATAAATACCATACGAAAATACAGTGCAAAGTCGCTGTTTTATTCCAAAAAAACGGTCAAAGTTTTTTTTCTCATTATGCACTGTGTGCTGCAGGATTTTTTTTATACTGTGCACACTGACCACATAGACCCATTCTTTCATATGTAGGCCTACCAGCTTTCTCCCACTAGATTTGAGGGCGCTAGAATTTAGGCGTACTAGTACGTCAAAAACCCTGGGTCGTAAGCCGTACTAGTATGGCCGAAACCCTCAAAGGGTTAATAAAACATTCAACCAACTAAACATAAAAGATAACAAGCAAGTTGATAGAAAAAAATCAAGGCTTATTATACCTGGATTACAAACGAAAATTCAATACCCATATTTAACACATTGCAATAAAAGTACCAAAAACTGTTTGCAAATACTCAAAAAGTACACTATTTTGCACCTACCTCAACTCTGCTTACTTTATATGATACACTTATCAATCAGTATCTTATATTTCATATCTGTGTATGGGAATCAACAACTGAAAACATTCTTAAACCAATCATACAACAATAGGCAGCTACCAGAGATAAATCAAATGCTACCATTGTATACAAAGCTTTAAATTTACTAAACATGCAAGCTTTGCGTGAATTTTACTGTTCACGTCACATCTTCACGACAATAAGCCATAACATAATAGATTCTTCCTAGAGCCACAGTAGAACTCATGGATGTCCAACAAAAAATAAATTCCTATCTGACAGTCCATATCTCTATATCTGAATCTATGTTAAACCACTATGCAAATAAAAAAGTCAAAAATCTGGAATGGTCGACCATAATAATATACTCAAGTTAATATTATTATGGTCCACCATAATAATATAATCAAATTAAACCCTAACTTGGCTCACCAGAAGAAACCAAAAACTGTAAATCTTTAAATAAATTAAAAACAATTAAAAAAATACTGTCTTAACTATGTGAAGTTATAATCTTAACTACTACAGTTTCTCTCTATAAGTTTGTTAAATTTATTTTACATATTATCTTTCATACTCAACATCTGATATACAGCAAGTCATTTATCACTTAGTTTTCTGCCAGTATATAAATACAAAAAATAAAAATCCTACTGACCTGTTATAAAAGAAATAAAATCATATTGCTCACCCACAGAAGAATGCACTTGATAAACTAAGCACCAGTGTCAAGTTACCTGTTTCTGAATAGCTATCACTCGTTCATCATGATTCTCTGGAGCAGATATAAACCTATGAAAGATCCAATGTCGTAACTGCATTACAGCACTGAAGATATTGGAGAGGGGAAGTACCACCAACACAACAATAAGGCCACGGTGATCTTCCATCCACCGGGCTATGCGATGCTTCATTATGGTATCTGAACCCATTACTCTCAGCCTGTCACTCTGTAATAATTAAGTACAATTAAATTTATTATTTTATAACATGTTAGCCATTTCCTTCCAATGTATAGTGACCCAAGCAAGAAAAAAAAATTTACCATCACTTACTCTTTAATAGTCACTCAAGAAGGGCACAGACACCAGGTAAAATGATGACCCAACAAACTGTAACATCTGCACCTGAACTAAAAAGCTATGACATTGTGCTTCCCATCTTCAAAACATTTCCAATAGTGTGTGAAAATTCCAAAGACCATGCTCTCCTGCCTTCACTCACTCATGTCCAACACACACAGTCTGCTGAATGTTACAGTATCTAGCTTTCTAAAAATTCTTTCACAAAGAATGCTTTTACCTCATCTCAGGATGTGCAAACAGTGAATAGGTTTCGTTTGGCTTGCTACAGGAACATATCTGATATACAGCTGCCTCCACTGTAAACCTAAGAACTGGTGGAAGACTTCCAGTAGTGATTTATGGAATTTAAACACAATACTTCCTTTTAAAGTACCATATTGTATGTAAGAAAAACTACTTACTGTGGAGCATTCCATGAACTACAGTGTCTGTTGCTTTTCCACATCAGATGTTCCTCTTCATGCAGTACCTATTGATGCTGAGAGCCTTTGCAGACAAGGAAGAGAGTGAATGCAGTGAAGACTCACGAGATTAACTGGGCAAAATGTGGTTACAGTGGACAACAGTGGTGTAATAAATCTAGTGGCAGGCTTATGCTTCGGGAATGGTTCATGGAGCCTTCTTCTGCAGAAAGCTCCATGAACCATGCCTGTAGTTCTTCATACTTCATAATTGACACACATCATAACTGATACACATACACATACTTCATAACTGATACACATACATGTATTTCATAACAGATACACATTATACTGTATCTTTCAGTTCCATAAGCTAATTTTCACTGATAAAAGCATTCACCTGAAAACTGTATGTACAGGAATTTTCAAAGAACTAATGACTAAATATACTTAGAGAATTAAGTTAGGTATTTATAAAGCTATTTCATCCTTCTTGTATATATCATATTAATGCTCAAATTACTATACTGCATATTTTCTATCAATTTAACCCTTAACCCTTTGGGGGTTTCGGACGTACTAGTACGTCTTATGACCCAGGGTTTTTGACGTACTAGTACGCCTAAATTCTAGTGCCCTCAAATCTAGTGAAAGAAAGCTGGTAGGCCTACATATGAAAGAATGGGTCTATGTGGTCAGTGTGCGCAGTATAAAAAAATCCTGCAGCACACAGTGCGTAATGAGAAAAAAAAAACTTTGACCGTGTCTTTGGATTAAAACAGCGACTTTGCACTGTATTTTCGTATGGTATTTATTGTTGTATTCTAGTTTCCTTGGTCTCATTTTATAGAATGGAAGACATATTACAGAAGTTGAGATGATTTTGACTGGTTTTACAATGAAAAGTACCTTGAAATTGAGCTCAGAGTAGTAGAAATGTTCAATTTTTACCAAAATTCAAAAGTAAACAAACCATGCCAAGCGTCCAATACACATCAACTAATATTCTTTCACAAGTGCGCTGATATTATTTATACCATTTCTACACTAATGCAGTAGTCTGCATAACAGTAAATCATATTTTTTTTTGTAAGAATAAAAATACAAAGTGGAAAGCCAAAGAAATATAAGAGGGGCCTGGGGATGTGACTAGCAAACAGAGAACTTGTTATTTTAGTGCCAGGAATGTCTTTCTTGTTTATTCTGGACCCTATTCGGAAATTGGCATCTTTTGAAATTTGTGTGAAATTGGCAAAATTGCTAAATTCTGACCACTTTATTGGATAGTTGAAATCGGTAAATGGGTGGTTTCTTGTACTCATTCGATAGAAAAAATGTAGTTCTAGCGAAATAGTTCTGAATTTTGTCGACTAGTACACTGGAATTGGCCGAAAATGGGGCTCAAGGTGGGCAAAATCACAGATGCATAAACATCGTCGAGACCGCTAACTTCGCGAGAGCATAATTCCGTAAGTTTTCCATCAAATTTCATACTTTTGGTGTCATTATGATTGGGAAAAGATTCTCTATCTTTTCATAAGAAAAAATTATTTTTTTTTTGAAATTTGGCCGACCCTGAGAACAAGTCTCTGAGAGGACCTGTCGACCCCCAAAGGGTTAAACTATCCAAACGTAGATCTACGTTCACGTGAGTAGCACTCCAAACATAGATCTATGTTTTATTTTACATGCTTTCAAATGTAAAACAAAAAATGTAGATCTACGTTTGGAGCGCTACACACGTGAATGTAGATCTAAGTTTGGACAGTTTAAGGGTTAATGCACCACTATATAACAAAATGGCTAATCACAAAAAAAAATGACTTTTCAACATTCTCCAAAAGAATGCTGACCAAGATATAACAATAAGAGGTTAGAAACAAGAGAACATACCTGACTAAGTTCTACTTATGAACCATGTGTCATATCTCCATTTTATCTACAGCTATCAGTCAGAGATATTCACGACGGGTAAAGTTTAAAGGTCAACGAGACGTAGACCAAACAGTGCTTTTTGCAGATAATATCACTGTAGTCATACTAAATCAGCATCTAACTGTACTACATAATACAGCAAATGAGCTCAAAAACTATTCACTTGGATAACAACCAACAAGCCCACACTCAGGGGAAAAAAAAAAAAAAGACTTGCTACAAAAAGTATAGAAGCAAAACAATACATGCATAAATGCAAAGATAACCAGATAAACTGATATTTAACATGTAGTGTACATTCAACACACATCAAAATTATCATTATTGTATTCAGTAACATGTATTCATAAGAAAGGTAAGCACTGCTTATGTTACAAAAATTCTTCCCTCCAAAATTAAATTATGTACGTATATCTTTGTTTATTTAGCATATAATTTACTTTTATTTAGCATTCTGCATTTTTGTTATTTATGAATGGGAAACTGAAATCTGAAACACAACATTGGATTTGCAGTACGATCTTTGGCCCTCTTACTACCTAAAATGATGTGCCACTACTGTACCAGACCGAGATAAGACTTATTATTAAAAATAATACTGACTCAATATTTTCCAAAATCCATGTAAATAGGATTCAGATCACTCTAATATGCTGTGGCATTTCCTCTCAAAATATTTGTTGTCATCAGTGAGAGGAAATCCTTTTGCTCAATATTTCCCTTCTACTACCCCCCTACCAATCACTGCTGGCAGCACCTCAGAAATATAACATTTTACTTAACCAGGTTAATAACATACATGCATTCACAAATCTGGATTTTAACACTCCATCATTCTGTGGGTTTATTATTATACTAATCAAAGAAAGTGCTAAACTGACAAGGGTCATGCAGTGCTGTCTGTGGGTTTAGAAAAGAATTTTCTGAATAGATAAACAATGGCGTAAGTCAATCAGTAGTAAGAATGATACCATGTTTGCTGGGGAAACAATTATGATCATGTTTCATCCAGGAATGTATGTTACTATATAGTATACAAAAACACACACACACATTATCTTATAAGGGAAACCTCACTTGTTACCTTTCTTTTGATGTCTCTTGACCTGACCTTATAAGGTGACATGAATGTGTATATTTCCTAAAGTCCTCTCTTTTTATTATTAACACATCGGCTGTTTCCCACCAAGGCAGGGTAGCCCGAAAAATAAAAACTTTCATCATCATTCACTCCATCACTGTCTTGCCAGAGGTGTGCCTACATGAGTTATAAAACTATTACATTAACACCCCTCCTTAAGAGTGCAGACACTGTACTACTTCCCATCTCCAGGACTCAAATCCAGCCTGCCGGTTTCCCTGAATACCTTCATGAATGTTACCTTGCTTACACTCCAACAGCATGTCAAGTCCTAGAAGCCATTTGTCTAAATTTGCTCCTTGTCTAACATGCTCACGCACACTTGCTGGAAGTCCAAACCCCTCACACACTAAACCTCCTTTACTCCCTCCCTCCAACCTTTCCTACACCAACCCCTACCTGGTCTTTCCTCCACTACAGATTTGTATACTGTTGAAGTCATTCTATTTCGTTCCATCCTCTCTACATGTGCAAACCATCTCAATAACCCCTCCTCAGCCCTCTGGATAATAGTTTTGGTAATCCCACACCTCCTCCTAATCTCCAAACTACAGATTCTCTACATTATATTCACACCACACATTGCCCTCAAACATGACATCTCCACTGCCTCCAGCCTTCTCCTTGTTGCAACATTCACAACCCATGCCTCACACCCATACAAGAGCGTTGGTATAACTATACTCTTATAAATAACAAAAACAAAAGGCACAATACCGTGACTGGAACGATACACAAATAACCTGCACATACAAGAGAGTTATGATGACATTTCAGTCCGACTTGGACAATTTACAAAGTCACACTAAATGGTCCAAGCCGGACTGAAACATCATCGTAGCTCCTCACTTCTATGTGCGGGATATTTGTGTATACATGTACTCTCATACATTTCCCTCTTTGCTGTCAGGGATAAAGTTCTTTGTCTCCACAGACTCCTCAGTCGCTGCTCACCTTTTTTCCATCATCAATTCTACGATTCACCTCATCCTTCACAGACCCATCTGCTGACACGTCCACTCCCAAATATCTGAACACATTCACCTCCTCCATACTCTCTCTCTCCAATCTGATATTCAATCTTCTGTTACCAAATTTTTTTGTTATCCTCATCACCTTACTCTTTCCTGTATTCACTTTTAACTTCCTTCTTTTACATACCCTACCAAACTCATCCACCAACCTTTGCAACTTCTCTTCAGAATCTCCCAAAAGCACAGTGTCATCAGCAAAGAGCAATTATGACAACTCCCACTTTGTGTTAGATTCTTTATCTTTTAACCCCACACCTCCTGCCAACACCCGAGCATTCACTTCTCTTACTACTCCATCTATAAATATATTGAACAACCATGGTGACATCACACATCCCTGTCTAAGGCCTACTTTTACTGGGAAATAAACCCCCTCTCGCCTACATACTCTAACCTGAGCCTCATTATGCTCGTAAAAAATTTTCACCACTTTCAATGACCTACTTCCTGTTCCATATATTTGCAACATCTGCTACATTGCCCCCCTATCTACCCTATCATATGCCTTTTCCAAATCCATAAATGCCACAAAAACCTCTTTACTCTTATCTAAATACTGTTCACCTATGTGTTTCACTGCAAACACTTGGTCTAAACACCCCCTACCTTTCCTAAAGCCTCCTTGTTCATCTGCTATCCTACTCTCCATCTTACTCATAAATCTATCAATAATAACTCTGCCATACACTTTACCAGGCATACTCAACAGACTTATTCCCTTATAATTTTTACACTCTCTTTTGTCCCCTCTGCCTTTATACAAAGGAACTATGCATGCTCTCTGCCAATCCCTAGGTACCTTACATACATTTATTAAATAAAAGCACTAACCACACCAAAAAGTATATCCCCACCTGCTTTTAACGTTTCTGTCTTTATCCCATCAATCCCAGCTGCTTTACCCCCTTTCATTCTGCTCATTGCCCCACTGCATGGGGCAGTGAGCAGATATAATAATAATAATAATAATAATAATAATAATAATAATAATAATAATAATAATATCTTTACTGACTACAAGTACATGTACAAGGTATACAGCCTAGCTGATATCAATGACATATAACTACACTGTATATAGAAAGCCACTTGTTATGCAGAGAATTTCTGGCAAATTAGGTCAGTTTTGTCCCAGGATGCAACCCACACCAGTTAACTAACACCCAGGTACCCATTTTACTGATGAGCAACATAGACAACCGGTGTAAAGAAACACACCCAATGTTTCTACCCTCGCTGGAAATCGAACCCAGACCCTCGCTGTGTGAAGCGAAAGCTTTAGCCACCAGTCTATCAGTGAGATGATAGACTCATCCTTCCTTATAAATTCAAGTTTCTGCATGCTACCCAAATTCACATGTTTCCTCTAGACACAGCCACTTGCTTCGTTAGTCATTGTAACTGCACTTTACTTGAT